AATGAGGAAACTACAGTGACAAATTCTTATTTTTAATTGCCCCTAATCATTCCATGTCAACATACATTTATTTGCAATTGTATCATTGCTTTTCACTGGATTTCAACAGCAACTCGAGCAAACAGAAAGTGCAGTCTGGCTTCATCCACAGACTTAAAGTTGATCCCCCAGGCATTACACAGGCTTGTCCAGGCATGGCGCCATGTGCCCGTCTTAAAAGTGTGCCATATCTCAGTAGGGAGCTCATGATGGAGCAGCAGGGACGTCAAAAACATCATTGGAGAGGTGTGAGATAATACGGACACTCACAGACGAGCCTATTCCTGATGCTGATAACCCCAAAATCATCTACTGGGAGCTGAGGATCACTGAAGCTTGGATTAATGTGTATTAGTGGAATCAAACGCCATGACGCCTAAAGTGATCTCATTAGGCTCACTGTACAATACGTAATACAACAAATTAAAACAAAAAATGGGTGGAAATCAGTCCTTTATTGCGCACATTTGTAATCTAGACAACCTAATCATTTAAATAAATAAGGTTTTTCATGTAAATAATTACAAATGTGTTTCTGCAATTAGCTGATCCTGAGATTTTATTTAGCAAAGATGCATTTTAGATGAGTTCAAGTTTTTTTGTATAGCGCTTTTTTATAATATTGTTTCAAAGCTGCTTTGCAAAAGGTGCACATTATTGCATTAATCAAATGAATTTAGTTATATTCTAACAAGTTATTTTACAGTTGAAGTCAGACTTATTAGCCCCCCTCTGAATTGTTTTTCTTTTTAAAATATTTCCCAAATTATAAATATTATAATAATACAAGTATATTTGACTAGATATTTTTAAGACACTTCTTTACAGCTTAAAGTGACATTTAAAGGCTTAACTAGATTAATTAGGTTTAACTAGGCAGGTTAGGGTAATTAGGAAAGTTAATGATGGTTTGTTCTGTAGACCAGTGGTTCTCAAAGTGGGGGTCGGGACATGCAAAAAAAAAGTCATCAGCCTTTCAATTTTTTTTTTCCATTGGATTGCGACCCCTGGGGTTATTATGCTAGATTAGTATCACAGCAATAGTTGCAGCAGATTGATTTTACGGTACAATGTTAAACTTTGACACCTTTATGGCACTCACGTACATAAAAAAAAAGGCCACAACTAAACAAGGAGGACGATCTCCAAGTGGCTACAAGTCTCCAAAATTAAACCAAGAATAGTCTTGTGCAATAAACATTGTACTCACTATTCTCATTAAGTTAGAATAATATTAAAATAAACAAATGAATAATGATTATAAAAAACAGACTGTTACACTTCGTGTCGTCAATAAGCTTGTTTATACATATTGCTATTAGTGTGTGTGCGCCGTTGTGTGCAATATTTGTATCCTTATAACACCTCCAAGCTTAGAGGGGGTCATGAGTCACTGGAGTTTTTATTTTGGGCGCCGTGGGCTGAGCCACTGCTGTAGACTATCAAAATAAAAATATTGCTTAAAGGAGCTAATAATTTTGACCTTAAAATGTTTTGTTTTTTTTGCATTTTATTCAAAACCGCTTTTATCCTAGCCCAAAATAAAAAAAATAAGATTTTCGCCAGAAGAAAAAATATGATCAGACATACTGTGAAAATTTTCTTCACAATCCATGAAAGGGGTATGGTCTTGGAAACCTGTGCATTGATTTCTGTTTTTACCAAAATCAACTCTTGGCCCACCATTGGCCCAATAACATGCAGTCTCTGAGCCATTATTAATATGTCCATTCATTCACAAAATGGAAATGAAGCACTCTGTTCCCCGGTAAAAGCGCAAGAACACCATAAATCCATAAGCAAGGACATTTCTGCCCATAGCCATTTTGATTCTCCTCATAAATATTACATACACCTTTTTAAAAGCTGAAATAGGAAGGCTTCGCGTGGCGCCTGACCACCGCAAGATTCCATTAAAGCTTTTGCAGAGAAAACATGGATGCTATAAAACTTTCAGCGCTTCTCTGAGGAGGTGAAGCAGGGACACCTGGACTCCTCATGAATAATTCACCACAGAAGTGCCGCTCGGACAGAAACTCTTGTGCCGCTGCTGGATAAAACATATTTAAATGTGAAGCGGGAACCATTTTTTATAACCAAAAAAAAATCAATCAATCACCAGTTGGGTCAAATTGACAGGGTATTGTAAGATGGCTCGGGCAGAATTGTTTGCCTGCAGCAGAGCACTCTGTCAGCATAATTGAAGGGAAATGATGGTCTAAAAGTTAAAACAAGTGTTGGGAAAGTCTAATTAACATCAATTGAGCAAACACTGCTGCAGTCTCCAGAGCATTCACAGGTGTGACGTGGTTTTAGACCTCTTTCTGGACCGGTACATATCCAATATATACAGTCTGAGACACCTCCAGGCTGTTTATTGATGAATTTAAAAACCAATTAGGGCTTTCACAATAGGTAGTTATAGGAACTCACAACACAGAAATTCACAACCAGGTCCAGT